GGGGGGGGGGGGACGGGGGATGGGGGGGGGGGGGGGCAGTGGCGTAGCTAGGGACTTGGGGGCCCGGGGCCTTGGCCTCTTTAGGGGCCCCTCCATTTTGACATTCGACATTCTTTAATGTAAAAAAAAAATTTCGGACACTCCTTTGAGGGCCCACCTCAAGTAGGGGCCCCGGGGGGCTTTCGACTTTGGACCCCACTCTCCTAGCTACGCCACTGGGGGGCACTTCAGATTTTTCTGGGGGGGGGGCAGTGCCCAGAGGCGTTGCGAGGGTGTTTGGCGCCCGGGGACAAGATCCCTTTAAAGCGCCCCCTTTTCTTTTTTTCAACTCTCAAAGACATTATTTTTACCAATAATATAATATCAAAGCACATTTTGGCGCCCCTAACAAGCTTGCGCGTGGGGCCATCTGTCCCCCCTTCCCCACTCGCTACGCCTCTGGCAGTGCCAGCAGTTCAATCAATACCATTAACCCCTATAAAGAATGTAATCCTGACAAAATCAAACCACGAGTGCTCAAAGAATTGGCTAAAGAAATCGCTCCTGTACTGATAATCCTCTTCCAATCGTCGCAGTGCACAATGTTCCAGCAGACTGGAGAACAGCGCATGTTTCTCCAATCTACAAGAAAGGGGAGCATTCCGACCCTGCCAACTCTCATCCGATATCCCTCACCAGCGTGGTTGGAAACTGTTGGAGCACATAATTGTAAGCACAGTCATGAAGCATCTTGAAAGTCAAAATATACTCAATGACTGTCAACATAGCTTCCGAGTCAATAGATCATGTGAGACCCAACTTCTTGAATTTCTAGAAGACTTGATGACCAATCTGGAGAACAGCAAGCAAACTGATGTGCTGGTGATGAACTTCTCAAAGGCATTTGACCGCGTCAATTATAGTTTGCTTCTACACAAGCTTCAAAGATATGGGATCCAAGGCACCACTAAAACATGGATCTCTAGCATCATCAGCAACCGATGCCAAGCAGTAGTGGCTGACGGTACAAGCTCCTCCTTTGTCGGTGTTAAGTCAGGTGTCCCCCAGGGATCAATGCTAGGCCCCTATTTTTTTCCTAGCATACATTAATGACCGACCCGAGAAACTGACATCCCGAGCAAGATTGTTCACAGATGACACAGCGGTGTATAGGGCGATCGCCAACAGATCTGACCAGGACCAGCTACAACAAGAGCTCAATCGGTTAGCTGAGTGGGAAATGAGCTGGAACATGGAATTTCACCCTGCCAAGTGCCAGACAATGTCAGTCTCTAGAAGTTGTATTCCTCTACACTACCAATACGAACTGCATGACCATATACTTGAGCCATCTTCCCCTGTAAAGTACCTGGGTGTTACCATTCAAAGAGAGGTCCGCTGGGATGAGCATATTAACAATACGTGCAACCAGGCCCTGAGTCTTTTAAGGCGAAATCTAAAGATTGGAAACTCCTGTGTGAAAGAAAGAGCATATAAAGCCTTTGTCCGGCCGGTTTTAGATTATGCATGTTCAGTATGGGACCCATTTACCCAGAAGAGCATCGACAGGTTGGAGGCGGTCCAGCGACGGGCAGCACACTTTGTCCTGAACCGCGACAGGAATAGCTCTAGTGTTGGCAGCATGCTGGAAACACTAGGCTGGTCACCATTTGAGGAGCGACGATGACTATCCAGGCTCTCCATGATGTAAAAGATAAATATTGGGCTGGTCCACTGGTCCAGCATTAAACAGAAACTCGTCCCTCTCCCTGTAGAGAGCGACGAGGCCATGACAGGCAATTCCGGCTCATACCAGCGATAAGCCAGTATAGGAACTGCTCATTCCTGCCAAAGACAATCAGGGACTGGAACAAGCTTTCAAAAGGAACAGTTGTGGCCTTCAAACCCCCAGTGCATGCTACCCTCAAAAAGTAGCACTTGCAACCAATGAATTATCCTCATCCACACCACGCACAGAATCATTGCAAATCCCCTGTATATTGTCAAAACATACAAATATTAAACAAAAAGGATGTTCCCATGCCGGGAATCGAACCCGGGCCGCCTGGGTGAAAGCCAGGAATCCTAACCACTAGACCACATGGGAGGCCATACATAAAAGGAAGCATATTCTATTATATAATATAAAAATATTTTTATTGATAAAAATTTTAATTTTATTTTCGCATGGATTAAATATAACTGTCGATCAAACATCTATTACAAATTATTATTATTTTCAGTTTGGAATTTAATTGTGAGAAATACCTGTAAATTAATTAATATATGTTACAATCTTATTTTTGAATCCCGTCAGGTTCATTATCTTAAAAAAAAAAAGTGATCCGGAATTTAAAGAATAAGCGAAAGAAAGAGAAAAATAATATTAATTAAAAAGAGCACACAACTCATTGAACGGTAAGGGGTAGTAGACAAATTAATAGTAATAATAGTAATAGGGCCTTGTAATACTTATTTACAATACGAACAAGGGTATAATTAATATCCTATTTGTCATAGTTTAATTTAGGCACGAACATCGTACACCGAGGCCGAGGCGGTGTTCTCTTCTTCACTAGTGACACTACTGACTACTACTACTACTATTACTACTACGACTACTACTACTACACTACTACTAAGTACTATTAATTACTAGTAATTACCAGGCTAGTACTAAGGCAAGGACTTAGTAGTCTAGTACTAGGATAAGAGTTCGAGTGATGATAGATAGTAGTAGTAGTGAAGATAGAATTGGGTGATGGTGCCGTATAATAAAAAAAGTGCCATGCCATACATTAGGCTAATTTAATTTAGGTTTTTAGGCTAATTTGGAGAGATAGCACCATGGCGTCATTTGCGTGTTGTGTCCGTGGTTCCGATAGGGCATAGGGTCAAAACCCTGGTTCCGATAGGGTCAAAACCAAGGTTGGGGATAAGGGCAAATGTGAAGAGATAGCACCCTGGTTCCGATAGGGTCAAAACCCTGGTTCCGATAGGGTCAAACCCTGATTCCGATAGATTCAAATTCAAAGTAAAGAGATTTTCAAAATCAAGTATTTGATTTTGATACCCTTGGCCTTACCGATACAACATCGATGTGCGCTTGATAATTAATTGCAATTCAATATTTAGTATTGGCAGCATTACATAAATGTCTAAGTCTATCATGAATTAATGTAAAACTCAACAGTCAACAGTCCTGCACAATCAGGGGTTGAGTCCAGGGAAAATGCCAAGACCTGTTAGAACGATTTTACGAGACCCGGTTAAAAAAGTAAATTCTGGTGGTTTTTACTATTTAAAAAAAAGTAATAATTAAATACAACAAAGTTTTGGGTTGTTAGTTTTAGCTCCTTTTTACACCTGGTGATTCATAATTATATTACAAATGCACTGAGAGGGGAAAGGGAGTTGTGTTGACTTGGTAGCGTACAGGTGTGCATGGGAGGGATATAGGAAGATGTCAAATATTTTTAAAAGGCTATAAAATTGGCTCTATAATAGTCTATAACAGAAATACACAAAACATGTTATTTGTCAATAGCAAAAAATAAATATTTACACAAATTAGTTCAAAAGACCCTTCTTAAACAAAAATTGACTACTTTTGTTGTCATCATTGACCTTGTACTTAATCTTCTTGATGAAGATTTAGTTTGCTTTTAATTATATAATTTAATAGTATTTTTAACATTTGTTATCGTTTTTAAAAATAACTTGAAATATGTTATATTTTATGACATTTGTGTAATCTTGAGTTAATAGATAAAAATGTATTAGAATAAACTCACATTTTTCAGAATGAATTTGTCAGCAGATGCAAAGTAATTTTAATCTTTAACTTATAAATATTCCAAGCTTATGATCTACCTGTAAAATGTCACTCTATGATGACTTAGACATAAAGGAAGATGCTGGGAGTGCAAAAATCACAAAGTCCTCCGTTGTGTGTAAGTTTGAATAAATTTTCTCTATTAATATTTTATGGATTTTTTAATAGTTTTTATAGTTTATAAAAAATAATGCATTTTATTTAGTTGTTAACATTTTGCAGATTCAATACATCACCACTTGGCGCAGAATATTTCTTTCTCTAAGGGTGTCTTTTATTAAAAAAAGCTGACTCCCTAATAAAGATGTATTACTTCTACTTTATCCTGCAAAGATAACTCAATTTATGATTCAAATTTGGTACTACTTGGGTTTTATTTGAATGTTTAAAATAATACATTGCTTTACATGAGAACTTTTTTTATTTTGTGCTGTGTAATTATTATTCATAATCTTGTTGCTTAAGCATTTTATGATTATAACTTTTTTTTATTAGTGGGATATCAAAATATCATTAAACTTTGCAACTGTACAAATATCAGTAAGGTTCTAAAAATTGTATACAAAATTATATATGTGGTTCAAATGTGTAAAGCAGGGGTTCTCAAAGTGGGGTGGTACTTGGTGATACTGCGCATAAGTTTGACTACTTATAAATTAAAGAAAATGTCACTGTCAAACACAGGTTGTTACTAAAAGGTACCTAATATCTTGACTTTTTATTTTTTCATCCATCGCCAACATCTGGTGGAAATAAACTGAATTAGCTTTCACAATCCGAGAGTGTAGATTGTTTTAAGAAGCTATTTGAAGCTGTGGAATATTTTAATAAAGACAAATGCTTCTCTCAGTGCTGATCCCTAAGTCATCAGTCACAACTAAGTTATTGCCAGAAATATTTGAAGATTTCATTGAAATCAATTTACATTGGCTGCAAGCTTATGCCATTCTGAATAAACTCTACTTTCTTTTTTAAATTTACTCTGCTCTGTTCATTAGGGATATTTGCCAATATTTAAGCCCGTCTGACCTAGAAGAGAAAATAAAAGAGGAAGAGGGCTACAACATGGTAAAGTACGTGGCGTCACGAGGTAACTCAGTTCAGTAAACTCTGGGTGCCACCTTCCTCCTTTTCAGCCTGCCAAATTGACCTCACTAAGACTAGTTGCTCTGGGGACACCCTCTTCTGGTGGCAACATTTTCTGTTTCCAACCTGATCTGATGCAACCTTCTCCCGCGGCAATCTACTCTGATGGCAATATGCTTTGTCTCGTGACACCCTCTTCTGGTGGCAACATTTTCTATTTCCAACCTGATCTAAAACAACTACTTTGATTGGTACCCTGCTCTTTCTCTTCTGGGGTGAACCTGGTATAGCTGTAGCCTGATCTTGTGATATCCTTATCTGGTGCCTGCTGCTCATGTATTTAACTGCGTTCTGTTTTAAAATGGACTTAAGCGGTTATGGTCCAATTTGCAATTTTCCTGTGAGGGTGTCATCCGTTGCGATCCGAACCCCCAGTGATGCCAGCTGCTGAAAATATATTGTGACCATTTTAATATAGTACATGACATTGTGTATGAACGATTTTATGGTCTTCTTTAACCTGAAATTTAAGATTGGATAATAAATCTATTTTGATGATTGACTAATTCAAAGTTGAAGCCATAGCTCAGAAAAAATCCTGCTTAAAGTTTCAGCTTCAGAAGACAATATCATATCATTATTATATACATTGGAAAGTATAATCCACATATTTGAAAGTTTATTTAAGTGTGATTAAATATAACACTATTACATTTGCATCCTTAAAGAGTTGGGCTAAATACTTTCCTGAATATCTTTTTGGGAAAACACAGGGGTGTGCTGGGGCTGTGTTAATGGTGCCAGGGGGCAGTAGCCAAAACTTTTTTGAGAATTACCTGTGTAAAGTGTCAGACAAGAGTTCTGCTTGTAAACTTCCATTGCTTGTAGGCTATTTAAATAATTTCCTTGTTAAAATTTTTTTCAGCTGGTTGGTCACCTGGCTACAAGCTACTGGCATCAACACTACAGGCCAAAAAGGCATCAACATTGCAGCAAAAGGTACATGTACTAGCATTCCTAAACATTCAAAATATCATTAAATTTGTTAAAACAATTATGCAGGAATAGTAGCAGTGTAATATAGTACATTATCATTGAAAGTGGAAAAGGGGTTGGGGAGGGGGACAGTGGTCACCAGGCACTTGAAGTATTTTGCAACATTGAGGGATGAGACTTATGAATGTTATTAGATTTTGTTCAGGAGCTCGCAGTCTAAAAACCTTGTAAGCAGTGTTTCTGTCAGACAGTTAGCTCAGGGGTGTTGGGGGGGGGGGGGGGGGGGGGGGGGATCTGTTAGCTCAGGGGTGTTGGGGGGGGGGGGAGGGGGGTCGAATCAGATATTCAGGTGGGTAGAGCCATTGGCCTTCTATTAATTTTATGGAGGGGAAGAATTTTTGGCCTTCTGCATAGTTTTTATCATTAAAGGGGGCACAAAAGTCTTGCCCAGGGTGGCACTTTACCCTAGCTACGCCACTAGGCGACCAGGATCACCTATAACTCCACTCCTTTGGCCCAACATAACCTAAATTAATATTAGTTGATGGCTTGCTTTAGGTCCCGGCTAAGTTTTACCCTTGAATCTGTATAGCCAAAATATATATATAAAATTAAAGGAAAATAATATATTTTTCAGTTAAGAAAATCATCATGCTTACTAACGTCTAGTGATGTTTATTTTAAGAAAAGGCCAACACTGTCATTTTGAGTAGGTTAGGTGGGCAGAAAGTGAGGGCAGCGATGGCTACGGAGCAAAAATCAAGGGGTGCTATCTGGGTACACCTGATTGTCACATACTGTTATGGTTTTGACGATTTCATATGTTTTAAGATTTGACTTGTAGAACAAACAATGTGTAACAAAGGACTGAGAAAAGCAGTATGCAAAAAAAGCGTTATAAAAACTAGGGATACTAACAATATTCAATTAAATTATATTATTAAATTTCTACAAAAATACAAATTCAAATACAGAAGCAAAAAGCTATATCAACTTACAATACTGGAAACCAGGTGGCCTATATTTAGGGATTAAATCAGAACCATCTAATAAAGAAATTCTAGAAATTGCACCGCCTAATAGTATTCTTTAGAGCAAATAGAATGCATTGGAACGTAAACAACCTTTCCCAATCAAGGGCTGGGTAGGTAATGAATGACACAGCACATGTACTGGGTGGCCGAGTGGTCTAAACTGAGCAATTCTCAAGTTGATTGTCTGGAGTTCAATACCAGCCAAGCCCAGTTAAGCAATAACTTCACCAGCACTCCAGGTAGATGGGACTCGTTAACCTTGGATGGCAACCCATTTAAGAGAATGAAACTCTGAAATCAAACCCGTAGGTGGGAAAACATCCCGTCAACTGCGACGCCACTGGTGCCAAGCTCTATCATCCAAATGATCATTTGATGTTCCCTTGGGTTATCCAGCTAGTAGGAAAGGTCATGATAAATGAATTACTATGCAATAGATGTGTCACAATGGACAGGTAGCTGGTGTCACTTAAAATTTCAGAAGGGACTAAGGATATAAGTTTGATGGATATACTAACATGTGCCCAAATGGTGGAAAGAGTCGCACATATTTTGGAAGAGACCAACCGGAATTAAAGTTGGATATGAGATGTGATATAAAGCAATTAAAGATACATGTTTTTATATTGTCAAGTAATATTTTATTTTTCTACAGAGAACAAGAACAAGTCATTTAGCACCTGTTGTGGACCTAAAAAAACATGTTGATCCCGATGCACCAATGCAGTTTAATATGCAGACAGGAAAGGTAAAAATTTCCAAAATTACTTCGAGTCTCTTGTATATTAAGAATTCCTGAAAAGTGTTGTAACTGGAACATTTTGATCATAGTCTCCAAATGGCTCTTTCTGGAGGGTTTAAGTTTAAGGCATAAACTTCCTCTGTTTAAATTACTAAAAATGTTTCCTGATAATTAAATCCCTTTGTTACCACAGGTTTTTACTTTTTTAGTGCTGTTTGGTCAGGACAGTTGACATTTTTATTGTCATGTTTTTTTTTAGCACAACTGTCTCAAGTTTATTTAAACTATAAGAATGCGAATTTTCATAAATTGTCATGGTGCATGAACAAAGTTTTATAAATAACATAAGGTTTAACATTGAAAAAAAAATGTTTCCAGATTGAGTTAGATTATAGTTTAAAAGCTACAGGAAGGATTGAAAATCGTAAAGAAATTTTGACTGTTTTATAACCAATTAGTAGTTTATGCTGCACTTTCTCTCTTTAGTTGCAGATGTAACCTAGTTTAGCTGGCATTTCTTAAGCTTTTAGTTTTATTTATGAATTATTTAAATTTTTAAAAGTTGAGATCTTTGGTTCTAAGATTTTCACATTAATAATTTTTTTTGTGGTGTCATTAGTGGTTGTTTTATGATGAGAATTGTGTTGAAAATGCAACATAATGTTAATAATCATCATCTATTCTTCATAACTAAAGCTATAACCATTTACTGTTTAACTCACTTGGCTCTGTGTTTTATCCATCAGCTGGAGAGAGTCAGCCTGCCACCCATTCAGCCTCAGGCCTCGATTGCTGTTGCACCTATCACCCCCTCGTCAACCTCACCATTTATTCCCATGGAGCCCACTCCTTCCATCACAGGAGTGGCTGATGAATACGACCCTTTCAGACCAAATGAATATGATGAGGTTGTCAAGAAAATAAAGGATGATAAAGAAAAAGAAAGGGATAAGGACCGTAGAAGAGATGATAGGCGTGACAGGCAGGAGAGAGACAGAAGGGAAGAAAGGGACAGAGAAAGGGATAGGGACAGAGATAGAGAGAGGTAAAGCAAACAATTATTTCAAAATTTGTGTCAAGAAAAGTCTAAGGTTTGCTTGCCCCAACTCAAAATGTTACGTTTCATACATTTTTTTATATTGTTAACAGACTACACATTCTTTCTTGATGAGAGTAAGACTCACTTAAAAGATAGTTAACCATGCTTCTAACATTGTAAATGTAAATATGAAATCAAATTAATAGATACATTTTTAAAATTGACTTCATCTTGGTAGGAGGCGACAAGAACGGCGTATAGAAGAGGATGATGACACAGAATTTGAAAGAATGAGAAAGAGAAGAGCCGCAGAAGATGAGGAGGAAGAGATAGATCGTACAAAGAGTAAGCACTATGTATATATGAGTTGTGTCCATTAGGCAAGTACAGAAAATCAAATTTGCCAAGTACTGATTAATCTGCTTTGCTTCAGTGGCCTCCGATTATTTAATATGTAAATAATTCTTCAATATTAGCTTTTGGTAAACAGGAGGATCATGTGATGGTTGTCTCGTTTGAGTAAAAAATGGCAATAGCAATCAATTGCAAAAATGGCTGAAAAATCTGTGCCACTCTGGCTTCCACCTCTATGGAAATATATCCTGGCATACATTAAAATGTTTCTTATTAACTATTTAAGCACTGAGAAATAACTAAAATAAATATCCCCCCCCCCCCAATTTATTAAAAAAAAAAAAAAAAAAAAACCCCCCCCCCCCCCCCATTTATTAAACAAAACACATTCATTAGAAATGAAATGTAAGTGGACCTCACCTTAAATTGGTCGACTATGTATACATTTTAAGTATTTCAAATGTATTTGATGTATAATTTTATATTTTTCAGGGGCAGGTGCCGCTATTGCACCCCCAACTGCTCTTTTGGAGGAACCACCAGTCAACCCAGATGGTGAGTACTTTTGGTTTAATTGAAAAATTGGATATACCTGTCCTCCTCATCCTCATGTCCCTTAGTCCTTGGACCATTGGGGTGCCACAGATGACATGTGAACCATCCTCCTCCATTCCTCTCTGTCTTCAGCAATACGCACTGCATCGCCTAGTGTTAGTCCTGTCCACTCTTTGATGTTATCCTCCCATCTTTTTCTTTGTCTTCCTCTTCTTCTCCCTCCTCTTGTAGTGCCCTGCAATATTTCTTTGGCAAGCCCTTGTTTCCTTGTTACATGGCCGCACCATTGTAGTTTGCGTTTTTTCACATTCACCAGTAGGTCATCGTACTCCCTAATTGCCTGACAACCCTTTCTTTCACTGTATCATCGGAGATATGGTCCCTATAGCAGCTGCCAAAAATGCTTCTGAAGCATCTCATCTCCACCACCTTTATTTTCCTTTCAAGATCGGCTGTTAATGTCCAGGATTCGCAGGCATACAGGAAAATGGAGAGGACTAATGAGCACATCAGCCTGATTTTGGTGCTGGGGGCTATATTTTTGTCATTCCATATTTTCTTGAGCTTCTGTGGGATCCCTTAAATGTTGAGTTTTCAATGGCTTTTTAAATAACAGAAAAATGAACATATTTTTTTTGTGTTAGGTATTGAAAATGTGTTAAGAATTTTAAAATTCATTTTTAACATTTGTGTTTTCAGTTTTAGGTGAACGTCCCAAATCCCCAACCATGGGTATGGCAATGATGTAAGTCTCAAAGATAAATATAAGGTTTTGCTGAAATTTGTAAAAAAAAATCTTTTTACGTTTAAATTTTAAACTTACTCTTACATCTTTGCAGTAAAAAGTTTATTAGCTTCGTTAACATTTACAAAAAATACTTTTTTGTGAAAATTTTTTGTAAGTTTAAAGACTACATTCTGGGATTATTGAAATTTGTTAAATGTGCACCCCAGGGGTTCTGTGGCATCTAAAATTATGGCCAAGTATGGCTACAAAGAAGGTCAAGGTCTAGGCAAGTCGGAGCAAGGGATGAGCACTGCATTGTATGTAGAGAAAACAAGCAAGAGAGGTGGAAAAATTATTCACGAAAAGGATATTCCTAAAGGTAATAAACAGAAATTAATGTGCTTTTTCTCAACCCCTAAAATATGCTTGATTCTAATGTTTCAACTTTTCTTGTATATCTGTATAATCTGTTTTATTAGATGAGGGCAGAACAAAAAATATTTTGGGTTCCTTTGAAGTTTAGTAGCCAGATTTTCAATCTGCAATACCATTAGGCCACACAGTTTTTACATTTATGGGTGTTAGGTGGGGAGCAAATATGACCTAAGCGAAATATATGTTTTATAGATAATCTTATCTATCAAAATAGTGAAAGTCAGCTAGTCATTCAATTTCATCGGGAAATTTTTTTTTGATTGAATGTAATACATTGTAAATTTTCTTTTGCTCTTCCACAATTTAGGGTTAAGTTGCTTAACTTTTTTATGAAAGCATGTTATGATCATGCTTATAAATTATAGTTTCCTTTCTTTCACAGAGCCTCCACCTTCAAACACTAATTTGCTGAAAAATCCATCAAAAGTTATTTTACTCCAGGTAAATTTAAAATTAAAATAACACAAGGGCTGAATTGAATTTCTGTTTAAAAAGGGCAGACATTTGCAGTTTTAACCACTCTTCCTCTTATCATCATTACCACCATTCTGAGGACCTAGGATGTCATAAACATATTTTAGAATAAATCATTTAAGAAAATGCAAATATATTTCAAAAGGACTAGAAAAGACTATTCACAAAATTTAAATTTACCTTTGCAGAACATGGTAGGGCCTGGTGAAGTTGATGAAGAATTAGAACCAGAGACAGCAGAAGAGTGTACCAAATATGGCAAAGTCAACAAATGTGTTATCTTTGAGGTTTGCAATATATATATTTTTGTTTTTTATTAAAATTTTTTATAAAAATGTGTTAAATGCAATAGTTGTTGGTATTTTTGGGGGGCACTTGATTACAAGTGAAAATAGTTTCTCTTCACAATTTTTGTAAAAACTTGTTTGCATTCATTCATTCATTAAAGTCTAATATTACCCTGAGCATGCAATTTAATCTCATTTTAATGTAAATTTTTGTTCCCTCAGATACCTGAAGCTTGTGATGAAGAATGTGTTAGGATATTTATTGAGTTTGAAAGAATGGAATCAGCCATCAAAGGTAGTTTTGCATTTTTAAATCAAATTAATTTGATATGTGTGCAAATCTATTTGAAAATTTTATATTAAAATATAATGCTCTGTCAATAGGAAAGTAACACTAAATCAGAATAAAACTACTTAAGATAATATATGTGTGTTCTTTTGTTTCTATGCAGCACTGGTTGATTTAAATGGCAGATTTTTTGGAGGCCGAGTTGTCAAAGCCTGCTTTTACAATTTGGACAAATTCAGACGAATGGACTATAGTGGAATTGTTGATTAAATTTAATTGATGTATTTGCTTTTTGTTGGAAGTATTTTTTTAGACTTTGTAAATAGATGTCAATATAAAAATCACAATCTTATAACACTTGTTTTTGTGATTGGTTTTGTGGAAATGTATGCAGACGTGTGCAGAATAAACAAAAAGGCCTCATAGTCTTGACACCTTTCTCTTCCTCTCTAAGACTTAATGGTGAAGAATGAGAAGCAAGTCGTGTGTCAAAATTTTTATTTTCAAAATCAGATCAACTTGATAAATGAACTGGCAAATTTGGTTTATCTACATATGATTGATTATACACAACTAAATCTGATGGAATTAAATACAAAACGATTTCATCCTTTTTAATAATGGACTTTGAAAAAATGAACTTAACCAGTGCGGTTGTTTTTCACTATGTACATCTTGAGTGGACATATGACTAATTAACTGGATACATCCTATTGATAATTAAAACATGATATTCAATAAAAACAAAAATTGCATTGGCTGCCTCAACAAAGAAGAGGCAAATTTTCCCCTTCCAAAACTACAATTGCTTCACACAGAATATGGACATAATTTGATTATATTATATACTTCAATAACAAATAATAAGCCACAGCTTTTATGAAAAGCTGCGAAACAAACAATATCTTTAATAATTTAGTCAAAATGTGCTAGGTCCTTCCTTAAGTCCAAAAGTCGAAAGATGCTTCCTTTCAATTAAGAATTAGAAACCTTTAAGATGGTGGGATTAATTTATTAAAATCTGGATTTATGCACTAATTAAAAATTTCTACCTCATGTTTCTTAAGTGTGAAACATCTAAGTCGAAAAATCAAAATTACTTAAGGAAAGACAGCAAGATGAATCTAGATAAGTAGAAATGCCATCAATAACAATATTTCATTAAATTTAAAGGCTCCCAAAACTAACTGATCCTTTTAACTGCTGGAGATAAAGAGCAAACACAATTAGAAAATGGAAGCATGTAAATAAACTATACTGCTCGCTTTGGCTTCAGCTGGTTATCTAAGAATAAAATTATAACTATAATTTTTTTTAAAACCTTTTTTTAAAGAGACAAGGACTTTTTATTAAATACACCACCCTGCAACACTAAAGTCTTTAAGGATGATTTACATCTATTTTGGCTGTATTAAATGTTATCTAAATAACCAGTCACTGGAATCAAACATATTTTTACTTAAAAGGTGCAGTAAGTGAGAAGAGTATGTCAGATAATTACACCTTAACATAATATTTACAGAATAGTCGGAAAAAAAATCAACATGGCAAGTCTTTTTTTTTTTTTTTAATAGTGAACAGATTATCACAAATATTACCTTGTTTTTGGTGTACATTTTTAGCATAAATTATATTAAATCACTTAGGCCAATCTAAAGAAACTGGGATAACTGAGAAGAGTATGTCAGATAATTACACCTTAACATAATATTTACAGAATAGTCGGAAAAAAAATCAACATGGCAAGTCTTTTTTTTTTTTTAATAGTGAACAGATTATCACAAATATTACCTTGTTCTTGGTGTACATTTTTAGCATAAATTATATTAAATCACTTAGGCCAATCTAAAGACACTGGGATAACCACATGACATTGTAAAATATAAGATGTAATATTCAAGATTATATATTTTCAATATCTTTATTGTTTAAGCTGCCTACAATTCATTCCTAACCTTTCACATAGTTCTCATACTTACTTTAATATTTGACATTGCTCAAGTAATAACTTAAGTCTTGAACATTTAAAAAAAAATATTTGGGAAAAATCCTTGCTTAAAAAGCAACATAGGATATACCGGTACTCAAATGCAGTTATAGCCTTGTATTAAAAAAACCCAACTCTTTATCACTGAAAGAAAGCATACCGAAAGAAAGCATCCTACTAAAATTAAGACAGCAAAAGATGTCAGATCTTTGCAAGCTTAAGTGACATATAAATTTAATGTTTTTTCTGGAGAGGAACTTAAATCTCATTTAAGAAACCCTTATCTGAATACCCTTTGTAAAGACCATATACTGAGAACTGTTGTAGATAAAGTGTTAGCTACTGGTCCCATGGCCAAAAAACAGTGTTCATAAATGCTTTATGATTCAAATTAAAATATTTACTTTCTCTTAAAAAAAAAAAAAGTTCAGTTATACAATCAACTATCATACTATTTACAGCAGATACAAAAACACAAGCACAGATAAAGTTGGAACTTTGATAAAATTTACCATTCATATTATTTTTACTAAATAACATTTTACATTTTTTTTCCCCCTTACTTTATTAATGGGGATTAAGTTTTTTAAAATGTATTTCTTTCAAATATGTTTAGTTAAGTAACTTCTGTGCTGTAGTATGGTCATTTTTTTTAGTTACAGCATTGAAATGAGGAAATTCTGGTTTAAAAAGTGGCACAATATTAGAAAATATAATTCATAAATAAATAACTGGAAAAAAAAAAAAAGGAAATTTTGTCCAGCTCCTGCTAACCATTTACAGATACAATATGAATGTTTAAAATTATTTTTAGTTCTTATAAAAACTTGGTCAAGCCTACTATTGCCATTAAAATCCTTTCTAATGACACAAAGCCAAGCCATGCACACAGAGCAGAATCAGATCTGTCAAAACTAACTACAGTAATAATCACACCAACATGACATTTATTCCTTTCTTTTAACTTAACATTCACAAACACAACCTCTTGAACAATAATAAATGAACTTGCTAATTTCTAAAAGAAAAATGAAAATAAAGGGCACAGGTAGAATCATTAATTGAAAAAGTCAAGCACATCATATCAATCAAATATCTCAGCTTCACACACTGACTTCTAGATCATCTTCCCAGAGAACACAAGATAAAAGCCGTACTACCGGTAGATTAATCAAACACGTGCGTGCATAAGATGGCATTTCATCAGGCCTGCTTTCAAACTCATGCACTCAACACAGCCAATCTCCTCTCTTCACTGTCACCTGACCATTGATATTTACAAGATTAAACTGAGGCATACATGAGACATCAAGCTGATCACAAACTTCCATGAATCCCATGTGAAGAGGAACAATCCTGGAGCAAAAATATACACATACATACAAGTATTTCTTGTACTAAGACATTGGTTTATATAGAAATGAACATGTTAAGTCCATACATCACTGTTTATTGTCCACCTAGAGAACAATGTAAAGACTTATGTGTCTGGCTGGTTTCCTTCAATTTTTAAAACCTGATCACTAATTAATTTATGCCTGCAGCAATATTGGAAGCATGTTAGAAATATTTTTTTGTTCAAGTTAATTACAATTGAAGTTTATGCACAGGCATCTACAAGCTAAATATGAGGTAAAGTAGAGGCCAAATACATAGAGATAGAGAAAATCTTTATAATCTTGGTTTACCGATCATCACAACTTTTGAAACATGCCATAGTTGTTATTTCTTTTTAAAAAATCTGTTCAGTACAACACGCCAAACATTAAAGGTTGGCTTCCCTAGTGAAATTATTCTCACCATTACCCTTGAATGAATGATGGTGAAAAATCTATATTTAAAAAAAATCAAAATAACAGCAGTGACATGAGGTTGTGAGATATATTTTTTTTTCTGACACTCGCACAGACTGATAATCTGCATGCTTGGTCAAGTTCTAAGCTAGCAACAGCTTTAACTATTGCCCTGCCCAGAGTTACTTTAAGAATCACAGTTAGCGCTTAAGTTTCCTTGATGTATCTGTATTGAAAATGCTTTGCTGCGCACCATGGATCAGTCAGAAAAAAAAAAAAAAAATTAAAAAATCCTTGCTGTACACCTAGATGTCCAATAAGAACTGGACCGCATGGCACTGCTATGATAATGATGATGTGACAGCTTCCAGGGCAGGGTAGATCGCCATTAAAAGAGCAAACAGCAGCATCAGTAAGGGGATGCTTGACACAAAGGACAGCTGCGAACAAAAATTAAAGTTACTTCACAAATTTGACAAAATAATAAACAATTTGTAAAGTTTACCACCATAAAATTAACACTCTACCCATTGGTTAATGGTTGTTGAATTCAGCTTGAACTGTTAATGCTAAGAGGTCCCTAAGTAAAAAGTTATGTTGTTCAAACTTTTAAAAATTATGTTGGTGCAAATTGGTTTGACTTATGGATTGCTTGTTGGGTCCAGTAATCATCAGGCAAAAGGAACAACACAGATGAACAGATTAAAATTCCCAAATCATTCCAAATCCTGCACTTCCTAATGATGGCCTTACCATGCGAGATTTGTTCTGTAGAGAGTGATACTCTGATGTCATATCTGTGATCTGTTTCTGTAAACTGCCTATCAAAGTTGACTTTTCTTCACAGGAATCCCTCAGTTGTATCAGCTCTTGTTTAGCTTCTTCCAACTTTGTGACAGGGAAGAAAGAATTTTAGCTGGGTTTATCTATCTTTTGACAAGTTTAGTTGTGTTAAATATTGCAAAGAAAGTGCTGAGTCAATGATTATGCTCCTTTTCTTCTTAATTCACAGTTTATTGATGAAATTGCTTTAATCAAATTTATTAATCAAACAAATAATACAGATAAGCATTGCTGTTTAACAATGGCCGTTTAACTATGGCTGTTAGTGTACAAGGGTACTTTATAGAAAGTTTGTCATTGAAACTTTAAATTGAAGGATAATCTTTATATCAAAGAAGTTACATTGTGAATAAATGAAACTTTCTCACAGATGCATATAACTGTATAAGACACTATGCGTGCAAACCTATAACATGCTTTTTTTAAAAATTTTTTTATATCTTATAAAATCATAATTTAAATTTTCTTCACTTTTCTTTTAGTCTCTCTGATTCGTAATTTTAAAAGGTTTTGAAAATGAAGATAATTAGTAAAATCAATTGTTTCTAGGCAACTACACATCAAATTAATTGAAAACATTTTATATCCTGAAATACTCCCCAAAAAATATAACACTGCAACATTGAGGGTAAATTCTATTTAAAAATAATATTTGAAGTCATGCCAGCGATTGTGATTTTCTTGGAATAATTATTAACCAGCATTTATTTGAATGCTCTTTACTGATGAGGATGAAATTAGGCAATTATTTTTTTTTAATATAAAAATTTAGC